AATGAGTTCAATTTCTTGCCAACTAACCAGGTTTGGATAGTGAGAGACAAAGGCAGATTAAAACAACTCAAATATGGACAATTTGATCTCAACTTTAAATCCAATCTCCTACGGCACATGGGCAGTGGAGGAAGGACATTTCCAGCACAGTGTCACACTGCCCAGCTGTATCAGTCACATACAACTCCTGTTTTAAGAAAACAATTCTAAAAAATACATTTAACAGCAGTTCTGCCACAGGTACAGTACATACAGGTGTAACAATCCAGGCTAGTATCATGGTTTGTTGGCACTTACCCTCAAACACAGTGGTTTTGCCACAGGTAATCCTCGCTGACACGTGTGCTGTGGTAGTATGTAGCCTATACCATCCAAACACATGCACCCAAAGTGAAACCAGGGCTGTAAAAAATGATCACCTTTAGGAAAACTGTTTAAATTGCAAAATAATGCTGAGAGCCCTTGGCTAGTGAAGAGTTCCCTTTGGAGCACTCACTGCCTGGCTGCATTAGATTATTTGTCCAGAGGAGTCTGCGGTTTGGTTCTTCCACTTGGCTTTTCGAGCCCTGCACACCCACCAGATATTCCCAGATAATCCAAAAAATAAGCATGAGTCATCCAAACATCTCACTCCACCTCATTTCCGAAGTCTCCAGTGTTGACATTAAGGGACTCATAATGTTTGAATCCTCTAAGAGAAATGCCTCCAAGGGTGATGTCCTGGCTCCACCAAAGCTGACAGCTGAGCTCCAAGTGGCCTTGCTGGTGACAGGATCTCACCTCGAACACTTGGCTTCATGTGGTGCTTTCTCAAAACTTTTTAGCATTTTAGCATTTAAAGCATTTTAACAACTTTGAAAAGCTTTTTGGTTTAGAAAGATGAGTTTAGTTGGCCTCTTTCTGCATGTCTATGTGAACATTTACAGCAATGTAACTGAGCATAATAAACGGGGAAACTAAATATCTATGATATTGTAGCTGATGATAGGCTCTAAGAGGGATGATGAGAGAAGCTATGGGGGCTCCTCCTCTGTGAGTCCACCTGGAGGTCTGACTTACACCTGCATAGAACAGAGTCTAGTGGGGGTTAACCATACGAGGATGTGACATCCATAGTCCTTCGCAGGCGTGTGCAAACTCCAGGGTGAGCACTGACACATAACTTCACAGCTCTTTTCTCTCTGGGATGATTACACTATGAGCAGGTTGGAGCCTGCCAGCTTTACCACCTTTACACCCCACAATCACCTTTGAGGGACTGCAGAACATACAGCTCTCTGCGTCTCTCAGATGCTGTTTAAGAAACAAGGAAAAGCAGCTGCTTCAAACTCTTGTGGCCTGCACCTTAAGGAAACCATGCTTGCACACTGACACCATCTATCTGTACAGTTTCAGCAATTCTTGCATCCGTTAGGCAATTTCTACACAATTGAAGAGGACTACAGATCTGAGAGATGCTCACTGCCACAAAAAGCTTGCACAAAGTACGTCCTGGGGGTTACAGACAACTCAAAACCAGCAGCCAAGTAGGAGTCACACAGTCACCACTCGTATGCTGTCTCTTGTGTAACAGACATATGTGGACACTGGGGACATGAGGGTCGGCTAAAAACTTGCAGTGGACGGAGCAGAGGAGCTGGGGTAGCTGACACTTCTGTACTGGGGTAGGGAACATAGGAGGAGGAGCAGGAACTGTGAACTCAAGAGTTGGTAGAGAAGCATAGGACATAAAGAAAGTGTATCACGTTACCATGGCACACATTTAAGGCACAAAGCCATAGGAAAGCAGGTCTCACTGTTGCTCATGTGTTCGCTAGCATATTTTATTGGGTTCATTAGGCAGACAGGAATGGGTGATAGACAGACATTTATTGTGTTCAAATCACCATTAAGTGATGCTAATGGTTCTTATGAGGAGTTATTGCTCAGGTTACGTGGCACTGTAGGATCTAAAACTATAAAAGTCAGTGTACAAGTCCTCCTTATCTCTGTGTTATCTCATAATGGAGTGAATATTCAAGCACAGGGCTATTAGAGCAGAACAACCTCCCCAAGCTTTCCTGTAAAAAATGAGGAAAAGTTAAGTTGTAATAATCCATAGTGCTGTCTTTAGACCCACGAGCTTTCCTTTACCATAAGCTATTGGTCATGTCAGCTTCCATGCAAAAATCTCAATACAATTTCCTGCAAGCTGTAGGTTCTCTGCATTTCTTGTCGGATCTGGACTCTGACATGAGGCAGTGGCACTTTCTCAACTCACAAGCCATCTACAAAAACCTCTAATGGCACTCCATGCTAAAAGCCATGGAAATTCTCTTTGTCCTCATTTTGACTTAAATCAAAATAAGTCTATTACACGAAAATCCTGACCAGGTATAAGAGAACAGTTCATACTCCACATCTTCGAATATTCCTTGGAAGATGAGCCTTATTAGCATTGTGAAAGACATGCCAATCCTTACCCAGGTTTCCTGGAAGTTCTCACAACTATTTCCTCTTATTCTTTCTCTCCTTCAAAATTAATTTTGTTTTCCCTGTACACACTTTACATTGATTCCTGCTCTCCCCTGTTAGAAAAGTTTCTTCATATACTTCGCTTTCTAACAAGAGCATTTATTTCCTTACATAGCCACACCGTAAACTTTCCCTTCAACTCTCCATTCTCTTCTCAGCCTTCTCCTAATAATCAAGCTGACCTGAAAACCAGATTCTTTCTTAACTCATATTTTAACCCAAAATATGCTTCTGTCCAGAATTAAGAGGATGGGATTTCAGTCACCTAGTTACAGAAGCCCAAATACTGTCCGTGGCAAACCTTTTGGGGTTCAGGAGATGCTTTTGAAATAGGGCTGCATCTAGACTGCAGATGGTGTTCGGTTATTCGCAAACACAACAATATGAAATCTTCCCATGCAATTCAATGCCTTTGAACAAATGAATCCAGCTACCACTGATTAGAATTCTTAGTATATCTTGTTCACCCAAAGTGACTCCCAAAACAACCAGAAGAAATAGAAATTATGGTGGAATTCCAAGTTTTCCTTTTTAAAATGTGTAGATCTATCGTCTCATTCTGCATAAAACTGAGCTGTACAGACTGTCCAGTCACACACTACCACAAGTCACTGTGAAGTGTTGCACCTGCAATCTGGTAATAACCAGTAGTTTTGCCTTCTTTTTCTAGACTCTGCTATTAAACTACATGTTAAGTAACAAAAGCAGTTGCCATAGCCTCGTTAACACCCTTGGATTTATTACCAGCTTTGCTTCCTCTTAGGCCTCCTTCTCCTTTCACATACTGCCCTTTACAGGTGAACAGCTGTCATTTCCCTAAATCAGGCCCCCTCTTCCTCCTCAGGCAAATGTCTTGTATTTCACAGTTTTTCCAGAGGTTAGTTCACAAGCAAAGGAGCATACTCTCTGTACCTATAGAAGCCACAAAATGGCATTCAAATCATCTCTCAACACTTTTTGATGTACCAGGCCTCTCCTCCATGACTTGCTCAACCACAGCTCTCTGAAGTCACTCCTTGCAGATCTATGCTGTTAAGGTACAGAAGCAGAGATAAAGGCACAGGAGCAAAGGAAGACAAAAACCGGGCTGTATGTTAACTTGGTTCAGGCTATTACAAGCTTTTAGCAGTGCAATTTATTATGGCAGAAGACATTTCTACTCTGGCACCAACCTGTCTGCAACAAAATACTCTAGGACACGTAATTGTGTGTTTGAGTACAAAATCAACAGTATTCAAATTGTTTGTATTTATATGCATTTCATCTGGTTGCCCTTCCTTTATAATTTTAGCCAGCTATTGCTGTCAACTATGTAATTTCCTCTTGGACTGTATCTGCTTATGCCAGTGGCAATGGTTACTCATCACGTACAAGAGTTTACAGACCACGTCATTGCAAAGTGTGTCTGTCCTCACCATTCATTTTTCATAAGCCCCTTTCAAGTTCAAAATAGAACTAGCAGTAGAATTAGAACCATAATTAAAGTTGTGTAAGATCTTTCACTGGCTTCAGTGGGAGTCGGATGATAGGAAATTCTGCTCCTGCCAGTCTTCACAATTACTGACACAGACATTCATGTGTTGTGCCAACAGTTTTCTTCTCTTAAGTACCTTATGAGAAGCTCTGTACCTGGTTTGTGCTCTGGACCTTGCTTGTGATTCTCAAGACAAGAGAATCCTTCTTTTCCCCTCATTTTTCCTCTACCTAGGCAGAAGAAGGAAAAGTCAGACAATGAACAGGCACACTGCTCCATTTCAAACAGTGATTCCTACATAGCTTCCTGAATAAGCCTGGCTTTTTTGACAAAAATAACTCAAAAAAATATACTGTACCATTATATAGATATAAAAACAAAGTAGAAGCAAAATATGTTTTCTGCTGTTTGAGTTACGATTTTATATCTATGTATGTACATATACACACAAATAAAATTATGAGATAGTGTGGGGGAAAAAAATCATATGCAGGAATCCAAATCTCCATAAAGAGATATTAAGCAAGTAAGCAGAAGAAACAAATTTATCAACATTTTACAAGCCATTCTGCTATGCTTGCTCCATGAAAGAGTGAATTTATGCCAAAGTTGCTATGACACTGAAAAGTACTTTCGGAATGAAAGCAGGCTAACACTGTTACCTTAGCTTTTCACAAAACAATGCCATTTTCAAATATGGGTATATATAAACCTATTTTTCACTCATTACATAGTGAAGCATCCACACAATCATTTAATGCTGCATGTCAGAGCACTCCGAAAGGCTGTAACAATATCGGTTCTTGGTTGCAACTTATCTGAAGTGTCGTGGTACAGTTCATTTCATCAGACTGAAGGATCCTCAGCATGAACTATTTCAAGACAGATCATAGAATCATGTCTGCAACATGGAAAGCCCCTGTTTCATATTATTTACAGAACTGAATAGAAGTATCTTCAATTGTAGGACTATGTTGATATCCCAGTTAAAAAAACCTCACAAAGTTGACAGTATCTCAATGTATGCTAGAACATAACAGTGAAAATGACCTCAGGCTATTAAAAAAAAATTTATTAAGATTCTTTTCCATGAAAGATTGGTACTACAATCAATGTAACCATTTAATCAGTCAAGTATGTGTGTTATAGGCAGGCACAACATTACAAAACAGGCAAGTACAATGCCCGATTAAGCGAATACAGTCTGAATATTTATTCATCCACTATTTCTGAAAACAGAGTTATCAAATATCCACCAGGGAAAAAGATGAACTACTTTAGTTTCTCTTTGGCATACTTATCAGGACAATGAATTAATTGCAAGTGTCTTCTATTGCTGCCAGTGCTGTGAAGAAAAAAAGAACTGAATGGAAGATTGTATGTCAGAACTCAATTTTAGGACTCAGGCGAACCAGCTAACGCATCAGAACTGGTGACAAACAACCATTCAGCTGCCAATACTTCACAAGGCAGACAAGGACTACATTGTTTTATAATGCAGTTTTGTGGAAGGTGTAAAAAGAATTACAGTAAATTTATGCACAGTACATACATATTACACACAGTTATATAAATACCCATGCTGTGGCTGGACTTCAGGAAGTTCATTTATCAATAAGAAAGCTAGTATCAGACCTCCCAGCGTCCATTTAATACACATTGCACTTCGCATCCAGTAATATGTTCATTTCTGTACCTCTCTTAAAAATAGATTTTAAACAGAAGCGAAGAATAATATCGAATCTTTCCATAAACTTTGTTTTCTTATTTACATTGTAATATTCCATTATACATAAAGACTGCATTACGATACATTATCTTCATATAGCTTTTTGTGATACATACAGCTTGAAGCTATTAACATCTTAGTTTGGGAACAGAGATATGACCTATAAGACTATTAAACAACAATTCTAGCCTTAATTTTGCTCTAGTTTGTTTCACTGAAACCATTCTTTGACAAAAACAAACAGTCCTCCTTATTGGGGAGGAAAAAAACAACCTATGCTGAAACCACTTCTGGATTTCCTTAAACCACTGAGAAACTTAGAAACCATAATAACTTTTGCATAATGATATAGCCACATAAAAGGCCTGTTACTTTTAAATTTAGAACATGAATGACAATTGTGACCCTATCTTTAAATTAATTTCCTTTTTTTTTAAGCTTTCACTGATTTTTCAAACATGAAACAATGAAAATGCAAACATCAGTCATACATAATCTTAACCTTTGCACAATTGGGAAGAGTTCCTATTTTATTAGGGAAAAAATGAACATGCACACACCCTCATTCACAGAGTGAGAACATAAACTACAGCAGCACTTGCCTCAAGTTATGGTGCACATGGTTGCAATACCGGGTATAAAACAAGAGTAGAATTTCCAACATCTGTTAGAACACAAAAAACTTATTGTACAAAAAAAGTCATTCACATTCTTTGCAACGAAGTGAGGAATCAGCTGTTCAGCTTTCTGGACTCTCCAGCCGACAAACTCCTCCTTCTATTGCCACGGACTGTCCTGCCACAGCTCCAGGAGGAAGTCTTGAAATGTGAGTCTGTGGAAAAGTCAAGAGAGTATTTTTGAGTGAGAAGAGAGGCAAAATTACACAGGACACAAAGCAAGCTTGAAAGTATTAGCAATTAAGCTGTTCCATCACTGAAGTCTGAAGGCAAAATACAAAGCAACTTGAAAAGCTGAAAACAACTGGGATACTTTTTTTGTCTGCATTAATGTTTAACACATGAAGAGAAGGACCATGACAGATGCGTAGAAAGGGTAAACTGGATGACCCAGTGCACTGAACGTAGAAGAAAGAGATGTTCAGCACGAAGACAAAGGAAAACTGTGGCATTCCATGGTTTGTAAGACTATTTCTTAGGGACATATGAAAAAGTTTAGTACTGCACAAAAAAATATACCTTACAGAAATCTTAGACACAGTAATCTATCTGACAGAGATAAACTAACTCTTCAAGGCATAAGGCAACTGCGATGATCAGGATGCAAAGAAGAAATTTCTCTGCATAAAATACCTACTCATTCACCTAAAAACCCACAAAGACTTACTCTAACATATTTGTTGCCAACTGTCAAATAAACGGACTGAAAGAACAATTGTGTTTCTGACAACAGGCGTCTTTTCCATCAAGAAGTTTTAAAAGCAGGCCTTTGAGATGGCTCTGTAATATTTCAGTCAGAACATAAAAGCCAGAACATAAAAGCCAGAATGTGGGCACGTGTGTTTGTGTACACAAAAATTCAGCTTACAACTGTGTTGTAATTCAGTGACAGAAAAGAATCTGTTAAAGATCCTTTATATTGAGGTGCATTTTATTACCAATGGGCAAAGGCATTCACTTATTAAAAGATACTTTGACTTACTGTGAGAAGTAATGACTTTTTTCCCCCCTTGCACACATTTTTATGTTGTGAAAATTGTTTATGTTTTTATCCACATTGTTGATTTTTGAGCTACAGCAAAAGCCATTTACAGATGTATCGAGTGCTTTCATTTAGGCCAAATGGCTAAAGCAGTGTTAAATCAAAACAGCAAAAGAGTTAGAAGTTCTACAAACTTCACCATTTCCTACTTTCAGAGCCTCAGTGGAACTCCAAAATGCAAGAGGGCTGGTAAAAGCATTTCCACAGGCTTGAGGCAGAACATGGCAATGGCTGGGACCCACCAGCTCTCGCTACACTCCAGCCATCCCTCGCACCAAAGCAGGAGTGCTGGCATTCATTCCTCTCATGACTTACAAGCTTCAAGTGATTCATTAAGGCTCAGAAAACATAATGTTTAAACAATTAATAAATTAGGAACTAGGTTTTATTCCTGCTAAAATATACAGCTCACAACATAGTATTTGCTGGCATTTAGAAATTACAGCTTCCTGTTAAGTGCAGCCAACTACATATTTAAGTTTCTGTATGTACATTATCCCATTTAAAAGATTTAAGTGCTGCAAAATGTGTAACTTGCAATGAGGCAATGGGTTGTGAGAAAAAGTAGAGATATAAAAGTTCAATAAAAATAACTTGTATCAACTGAGCAGAAACCGATTTGAGACAGTAACCACCATTCATTGCATTGAAGAGACATTTTGTATCTAGGAGGCAGCTTCTTTTCTTGACAAGGGTATACTGGTGTCTACTCTTCAGTGGTCTTGGTTTCAGTTAAATTACAGAGTGGCATTTAATTTAAAACATTTAAAGGTTTTCATTTTACTGCTAAAATTTTGATCTCTGGCCTTTCTGCTTAACATCGGAACATCTTCCTACCTTCAGAACAACTTTAGTTACAACTGTGATTTACCACTTCAAGAAAAGATTCTTTTCAAACCTGTTACAGTTTCCCCCAAAATGAAACTGGCAATTTTTCGGAGATATTATTTTGTAAGTTTAAAGAAAAAAAAAAAAAACAATAGAAAAACAAAGAAAAACAAGTGGAAGAAGGGTATTTTTTATTTTATGACCAACAGACCCAAGACCTTTTTCCAGGTCTGTGAAAATCTCTAAATGAAAAGTGGGATGACAGTGTAAAAGCAGTGTTCAACACCACTGCTTTTCTAGTGAGATGCTGCAATCAAAGCTAACCAGTGGTCCACTCTAAGGCAGGCAACATTTGTAAGTGAGATTGCTTGTTTACTGTGATCAGTCAGAATTATTAGCAGATGATTGTAACAATACGAGAAAAAGCACAAAAGGCCCCATGATGCTGCCAAGAAGCTTGTTACTGAAACAGAAGAAATATTGTTATGATATGTCATGAATCTTATAATCAATTTTTTTCATTACAACTACAACAGACCTGACCTGTGTAAATTAGTTTTCTGACCCAAGTTATGAATTGACCTTCTGCATAGGCTTGACTTACCCCCCAGCCTAAAGTTAAATGCCTAATAGACTCTTATGTAATTAAAGAAGCAAAATGTGAGGTTTTATTGAATCCACATGAAATTCATAGATCCTGTTATTTTAAAAACATAGTTCAGCACTATATCCTCGTAAGTTTTTGAGCAAGGAAAGGAAAACACACAAGAGGGGATAAGCAGATAATCGATATCTATCAATACCTTATCAAATAGCTATGCTTAAATAAATAGACTGTCTGAAACACATTTCCTCTACAAAAACTCATTTCCTATAAAAGGGAAACAATGTTTCCCATACAAAAGACCCCAAACCACTATACACTGCCATCTGTAAATTTCCATTTACTGAAATACCCAAACCACATACAACAAAACCCTTCTTAAAGCCTTTACTTGCATCCAGGTCATCTGCATACTTTATATGACAGAGCAAATAAGGATGCTGTTTTACACTGACTACTTCTTATCACTTTCACCAATGGCTGCCTTGTGCAGAACTACAAGAAGACAGCTATAAGATGATAGTGTTTATAATACGTTACCTAATCAGTAATACAAAAGGATAACATTGCTATGTCAAGATAAACTCCCAAGTGAACTCATACAGCTATATCCCCCTTGTTCATAGCCCTAAGAACAATCTCCAGTAAATAAAAAGAAAGATCAAAGAACATGAAATATTTTTAAACACGACCACAGAACTTACTTGTAGAGTTTGTCACATTTTTATATCCCAACATCATACTTTACATTAAGCTCAGATTGTACAGTGGATTAGGTTTAGATTTTTAAAGCATAAAAATAAAAACCAAACAAATGAAGAACAACATTGGAAAGCTTTGAATTGAATTTTTAACTGATTAGTCTCTCAGCTTCACAAGTTGAATGAACCCACACCTGGGGGCAATTGTGCCTGAGAGCACAAAAACAGGAAAAGAAAGAGTTTTCCTGTATTAATCCTCCACTCAGCTTCATGGAAGCCTTTCTGAGGAAACCATATGCCAAGGAGAAGTAGATTTAGAATGACAGGGCTATCCGCATCTTCAGCTCCATAAACAGGATTTTCACTGTCCCCAAGAATATTCTTACTTGATTCGCTTTCCTAGAGAAAAGTGAGGTTGGTGAGGGCCTAGTATGAGCAGAGGTCCTGACAGGCAGGAAACCAGTTAGTCACCAGAGATCTGTGTTTGCAGCTTGAAGGAGGAACCTTGTGCCCACAGTTCAAAAGGAACAAAAGTCAAGATGAAATATTTGAATTTGCCTCCCATAAAGGAAGAACAAGCTAACCAACCTTCAGACACTGATTCTTGCTCCATGCACTTGTCATCCAAACACGTTTCCCTCTTTCC